TTCCTTCCTTCCTTCCTTCCTTCCTTCCTTCCTTCCTTCCTTCCTTCTTTCTTTCTTTCTTTCTTTCTTTCTGTCTGTCTGTCTTTCCTTCCTTCCTTCCTTCCTTCCTCCCTCCCTCCCTCCCTCCCTTATATTGCCACCTGTTCGCCCATGGTGACTCGAGGCAGCTTACAGAATGTAAAACCATATTTAAAATAAAAAACAATAAAAATGAACGAAAGAATCAAATAAATTAATAAAGTACAATAGAACAAAATCTGGGGGAAAATAAATAAAAATATCACCTCCCAACTCCCGTCCCCTGCTCCGATGACAGCAGATCACACGAGCCATTTGATGGGCACCATCCAGCTCTGGCTTCCCCAGATCTGCTGGCAGAACCAGGTCTTCAGTGCTTTCTGGAAGAGTATTAGAGAGGGGACCATTCTATCTCTGGGGGAATGATATTCCAGAGAGAGTGAGCCACCATGGAGAAGGCTATTCTTCTGGGTCCCACCAGGTGATGGGACCCGCAATTTATGAGATGCAATGGTTGCTGGTATGCTTCTGGGCTCAATTCAAGGTGCTAGAGAGAGTCTACATGGTTCTACATGGTATTATCCTGAGGGTCCACTTATATCCCATGGTTTCTGCCCAATTGGTAAAAGATGGTAGAGTTGGCGCACTTAACAATATCATTGTGTACATTCTCTGTCACGGCACCCCACCCTCTGCAATGAAATCCTTCCTGAGATTTGTGGTTGTTGTCCCAACAATCCTTATGGTTGTGGTCCCATGCCTTGGGCTAGGGAGGATGGGACCCCCCCCTTATTGCATGAACTTTTGTATGAGTTCCTCACTGAGTGATCAGTTGAGTGCCACCTTGGTTCTTCATGTCTTATTGTGCTTTCATTTCATTTTTTTTTTAATATTGTGAACTTCCCAGCACCATCTCAGTCGGGGCAGTCAAATTTAATAAATAAACAGTGAGCGGGTGAGTTAAGTTGATTCGAAGGAAGCACTTGTTGACCGCCTCTTCAACGTCTCTCCACTTCTGGAATGAAAGCCCATTGGTCGACCAGTGACTCACTTGAGACTTCCAAGGAACACAAAGGGGGTGGCAATTTTCTTCATCTCCCATTTTGTTGTCTCTTGATTCCTTCAGGGAGCTCCAGCGACTCTGAGTGCGACTCGGAAGACGACAGCTGTTCCAGCAGTTCTGACTCGGAGGTTTTTGATGTCATTGCTGAAATTAAGCGGAAGAAGGCCCACCCTGATCGTCTGCACGAGGAGCTGTGGTACAATGATCCTGGACAGGTACTCCACTTGAGGAAAGAAGCGAAAGGCTTCTCAGGAGCAAGATTTATTTTAGTAGTGACTCATTTGCTGCATTGGTTTCAGCCTCTCCAAGTTTATTTTTTTTAGCTAGCTAGCTCTGTGCAGGTACAATAGTTCATTTAGTGACAGTTTGAACTTATAATGGCACTGAAAAAAAAACTTTCGACTATTTTTTCCATTTACGACTATTTCAGCATCCCCATGGTCCTGTGATCAAAATTCAGACGCTTGGCAACTGACTCATATTTATGACTGTTACCATGTCCTGGGGTCATGTAATTCTCTTTTGCGACCATCTGACAAGCAAAGGCAATGGGGAAGCTAGATTCACTTAACAACTGTGTTACTAACACCTGCAATGATTCATTTAACAACAGTGGCAAGAAAAGTCATAAAATGGAGCCAAATGTACTGAACAAATGTCTCACTTACCAACAGAAATCGGTCGTAAATTGAGAACTACTTGTACTTAACTGGGGGTATTGAGTAGAATTGTCTCACTTATCAAGCTGGGGCACTATTAAATATTACAGGTTCTGCTGGCCTGATAAATTGGCCACTCCGGTACAAAATCAGCCTTGGCTTTACCTGATTTGCTTGTTTGTTTATTTAAATAATTTCCCGCCTTCTTCCTTTTAGTAAATAATAAGCAAATCATCTGCCTTTCAGTAAAGCAAATAGTCTTCCAAAAGACATCTTCCTGGGAACTGGTACTCCTTAGTGGGGCTCCTTGGGAGAAAATTTGCAACTTTCCCTGCCATCTTCCCCCTTGTCTTTGCTTGTGGGAAGCAGGAGGGAAGGTGACAAATGGTCATTGTGTGATGGTGGTTTGCTGTCATGTAGTTGTGAACCGAGCCTTTGAGTGCCTGAATTGTGATCATGGAGGTCCTGTAACTGCCACAACTTTAAGACCAGTTGCAAGTACCTTCGTTCAGCACTGTTGTAATTTTGAACGGTCGCTGAATCATGGTGGTAACTTGAGGACTATCTAGGACAGAGGTGTCAAACTCAAGGCCCCTGGGACGAATGTGGCCCACAGGATGCTTAGATCTGGCCCACGGGCCCCTTTTTTAAATCTGGATTATTTCTTTAGGATATTGTGAGGTGAGCGAGACCAGCTGGTATCTTTAAGTGGTGCAAATGGATCTAAGGGTTGCTTTTCCTGGGTGTGCTCTTTCTGGAGAGCTTCAATGACCTCTCTGCTAAAGGGTTTCACTTAATGAACAAGAGTTGGCTGCTGATAGTTATTATTGCATTTTAACTATTTTAATTCCTCAAGGTAGTCTGGCACCCTGCCTGATTTGTAATTCTGGCTTTCAGGTATTTTTAATCTAATGATTGGTATTTAGGGAAGCTTTTTGCAAGCAAAGAAGCTTTTTGTATTTTTGCACAAGTAATCCTTAACTTACAACAGTTCATTTAGTGACCATTCAACATTACAGTAGCACTGAAAAAAGTGACTTATGACTGTTTTTCACATTTACGACTGTTGCAGCTTCCCCATTGTCATGAAAGGCCTGGTGAGGAGAAGTGCTCCTTGACATGAGTGACGTTGAGTTGGCCACGCTCACCCAGTCACATGACCACCAAACCATGCCCACCAACTAAGCCATTAGTGGTTAAGTGGAAAGCCATTAGTGGTTAAGAGTGTGGCAAATGTCAAAGATGAAGAGATCAAGAAACTTTTTACAACAAAAGGAGTTCAATTCAGTCGTTTTTACAAGTATTTTGGCTTATGTTCTTTTTCCCTTATGCTCATTTTTCATTCATTTTGTAGGGAGATTAACCTACAGCTTAGATTTAGAATAAATTTATGGTCACTTTGAATGTACATTAATTCGCATACATTAAAATGAAATTTCATTGCATACAGCTCTCAAAAGGTCACAAAATTATGTATATACCCACATATATTATGCAAACATTTGGGCATTCCTGTCAAGTTGTCTATTTCAATAAATCTGTAAGTGAACAGAAGAGAACACAACCTATATGTCAGGTGTTCTTAATTTATTTGTGCCATGGACTGCTTCATAGAAAAATATATTCAAATGCATAAAATAAAATGCATAGGTATAGCTTGTATCACAAAAGAATCCACTTGTGCTTAAATTCAGCTATTAAAATATTAATGGCTTGTATAGATATTTAGCTACAAAAGAACCTTTCAAATGCAAATTCTGTTCACCATTATCCTGCTTTCAGAGGAAAATGTAGTTCATACATTAAATGTATTTGTACTTCATTTTTTTAGGGTATAATAATTATTCTAGTGAGGTTGATTGAAGTTAAGCTTTTTGGGGGGAGTCTACGGGCATAAATGACTTGGTTGCATATATTCTTATTAAATTATAAGCTAAACTTCAGTTAAAATTTAGTGAAAATAAACTTGTTATATTTTTCCCATCCAAGTATACAGACCCCTAAACTTTAACGTGGACCCCCAAATTTAAAACTACTTACTTTACAGGAACAAAGTTGAAATTGAAATGTAGCATCTTTTTGCCAATTTGAATGTTTCCTTATAACTGATGTCCAATTGTTTACAGGTTAAAAGTATGACTGCAGTGACTTCCTTCTTGTTCTAATTTTTTTTTCCGTTTCACATCTGTTTTTTTATATTTTTGTCCCCCGATTAGTCATTAAATCTAAATTGAACTTCTCAATTTAAATGGAAATTGATGGCCTTGGCGTTTCTAAAAACAAATTAGGTAGAACAAGTCTGTTTACCTTAAAATCCCAAGATGGTTAATGCTAAAGAACAGGACGGTTGTCGACAAACAAGAGCTAATGATGTAAATTGTATTTGCTATCCTTTTTCATTTGGTTGTATCCATGTATCAAGGCGTCTTGGTGTGTTGTGTATTGCTTTCATTTAATTTAAAACAAACACATTGTAGGTTGGAAAGCACTTAAAATTGTTGGTGTATTGCTTTTGTGTCCTGAACTCAGCTTTGCAAATAATAGGGCTACAGTCTGCAAACATAAATTTAGAAAGATCAGCCACTTATATTGAAGCAAAATCATAGGCTTACTGATATAAAAGCAGCAATTTGAGCATCTTACACACTCCCCCACCCTTCCATTCTGAGAGCATCTTCTGAATTACTCTGACACCTTGAATGAGATTTGAAAGATGGTATTCAATAGACAGAGTTTAATTTTGAAGACTGTATTTTGTTTTATTATTGCCTATGTTCTTGTAGCATTGAAGGCACCGGAAATTGAAATATTCCCAGAGAACAAATACTAAGCTGTATCCAAAAACACTAGCTACCACCAATTTCTTTATAAGAATCATATGCTTCTTGAGCTATCTTTTTCTTTCCATAATAGTGTTCCTTTGTGGACCATCAAGCTATTATTAGTCGAAACTTCAAATGTGCTACAGTGCTCTTTAAATTCTGAATAAGAAAGGAGTTCTGTGTGAACAAAATAGATTTGGGAGGAGAAATTGTGTCTCCACCCCCAAAAAAGAAAAATGTAGAAGTTTCAATCAATGTTTAGCTTATAATTTTCATGCTCCTCTTTCCTTAAAAAGGTGAGATATTGCCTACTACTGAATTTTGGGACAATTGGGATATAGAACAATGGCCTCTAACCTTTTGGGCACCAGGGACTGGTTCTGTAGAGAGAGGTTTTTCCAAGGACTGGTGGGGGCATGATTTCACATGATGCCTGCATTCCACAGACGGGGTTTCACTTGTTTGCGTGGCCCAGTTTCTGTCATGCCACAGCTTGTCCATGGATCGGGGGTTAGGGACCCCTGATACAGAGGAATTCCAGAACATGGGAAAAAATAACAAGTGTCCTTACTGCTCCCATTAGTCCAGCCCTGAACTAAAGAGAACAATAGAGGAAGTATTGTTATGACCACAATTAAGCCCAAAATTTCTGTTAAGCGAGACATTTATTGAATGAGTTTTGCCCCATTTTATGACATTTCTTGCCACAGTTGTTAAGTGAATCACTGAAGTTGTTAGTAACCCGGTTGTTAAAGAAATCTGACTTCCCCATTGACTTTGCTTGTCAGAAGATCAAAGCAAAAAGTGATCACATGACGCACAGCAAGCGTCATAAATATAAACCAGTTGCCAAGCATCACAAAGGTTGGAACTGTGAACAATGGTCATAAATCACTTTTTCAGTGCCATTATAAGTTTGAACGATCACTGAATGAACTGTTGCAAGTCGAGGACTACCGTAATCAGAGTTGGCTTCTAGTGCTTTTTATTAGGGAGGCTAATAACTGGAAATTTCAGAAAAAAAGCATGCAGCTTGTCTTCAACTTACAACCATTCATTTATTGACTGTTCAAAGTTACAACGGCACTGAAAAAAGTGACTAAAGACCATTTTTCACACTAAGCAACCATTGCAGCATCTCCATGGTCATGTGATGCTTGGCAACTGGTTCATATTTATGACGATTGCTGTGTCCCGCTTTTTGCTTTGATCTTCTGACAAAGTCATTGAGGAAGCCAGATCCCCTTAACAACCGGGTTGCAACTGCAGTGCTTCATTTAACAACCCGGCAAGAAAGGTCATAAAGTGGTTTTCTTAGCAATAGAAATTTGAGCCTCAATTGTGGTCGGAAGTCGAGAACTACCTGTATAATGTAATCTCTTCATGAATTCATGTAGGAATGTTTTATATCAAACCTCACTTTAGGTAGAAAGCTACTATGTGGACAAGAAGCCTAGGCTAAAATTGGATTCTAAGCATTCAATACCCCCTAATAAAAACGATTGGGTATCATTCTGACAACTTCCATTTATGAATCTGAAAGTGGACACAGTTTGGAAAGTACTATAATCCATTTTTAAAATCTTTAGTTTTATGAATAATTATTACCTCAGCAGTGTTTAGATAAATAGATGCATCGGCTCTACTTTCCATATTACCTCAATTTTTTAAAATGAATGCCTTGTCTGAGCAGCAGAAATTCAGATGGACACTAGATGGTACCAAAAAATGGAAGAAAATTCTTACCTTCTGCTGCCACCTAGTTGCCGTTTGGACTTTTGCAACCGAGATAGGTACTTCTCCTTAAATAGATCACATTTCAGCCTCTTGGTATTGATCTGGAGATCTTTGTTGCAGTTTCCGTAACAACAGCAATTTCATCATCAGGATTTCATCCTGATTTTGATGAGGAACAAAATAAGGCAGGAGTAGGCTTACTCTAGAAAAAGCTTCCCTGTTAAAGAAAAAAAAGTCTTAATAATAACATCAACATCATAGGTAGTCTTTTACCTACAAACATAATTAGATAAGAGAAGATAACCTTTATTGCCATTTTTTTTCCTGTGGGCACTCTGGCACACATAAAAATAATAATCAAATTCTGTTGCCTGTTCTCAAAAGTATACAGATACATAACACACATATAGATATGCTATATAGATATATATGTATTGAGTCTGGAATTATGGTCGTAAGTCATGCTGGACATTAAGGGGGTCACTATGTGGGCCATTTGCCGAGCACCCAAATGCGATCACATGACAGGGGGAAGGGGAGGGGGAGGGGCAGCCATTGAAACCTCAAAACCAGGTTGTAAGTAGCTCTTGGAGACATCCATCATAATTGTGATTGATTAAGTCGAAAGCCACAGGACTTTAAAAGATCTGTGGTCCTTGGATGTTTGCCCACGCTCTTTAAATATTCCTTTTTTTAAGTAGTCCACTTTAACTCTTTTTCTTTCAAAACAGATGAACGATGGGCCTCTTTGCAAATGTAGTGCCAAAGCCAGGAGAACAGGAATACGACACGGAATCTATCCTGGAGAAGAGGTAACCGGATTTTCATTTCTCAATGAGAAGAATTGCTTATGGACATGGCTGACTATGGGCAGATCTGTCAGACTGATCTAAAATGAGGCTTTATTTTCTATTAGCCCAGATCTGGAGCCACGTAACTCTCAGCATTTCTCACCATTGGGCAAATTCATTGAGAGTTGGACAGCATACAAGTCTTAATAAATGATTATTTTCAGGGACCGCTGGAATCTTTAATCTATATTTGGAAGGGCTGTAGCTAGAAGGAGAACAACTGTTAGCTTGAAGGCAACCTGTATGAAGGAAATATACCCAGCAGGGAATGATAGGCTGGTTCAGTCTTGATTAGCTTGCAGCTTTCCAGATGTGCAACACTGCAATTCTGTTAATGTCTAATACGCATAGCCTCTTGTTTCAGGTGGGAAGAGCTTAGTCAGCGCATTAATCTCTTATTAACTCCTCTATTATTAACATTCCTCTGTCTATTATTTTCTTTTCTGGTTTATTCTACTTATATAATTTTTCTTAAAAAAAAATAATTATTATATAATGGTTTGAGGTAATCGTTTCAGATTTATTGTTTTAATGGATTGTTGTATGACATCCAGAATCGTGTTCCTGAAATGGGCAGCTGTATGTTATAAGCCATGGTGGCGCAGTGGTTAGAGTACAGTACTGTAGGCTACTTCTGCTGACTGCTGGCTGCAATTTGGCCGTTCAAATCTCACCAGGCTCAAAGTTGACTCAGCCTTCCATCCTTCCAGGGTTGGTAAAATGAGGACCCAAATTGTTGGGGGCAATATGCTGACTCTGTAAACCGCTTAGAGCGGGCTGTAAAGCACCGTAAAGTGGTATATAAGTCTAAGTTGCTGTTGCTATTAGTAAATAAATACATAAATAATTATACTTAGATATTTTGAACATTGGGAAGCATCAAAACAGACAACTCCCTGCCCCCTCTCAATGCTCCTGAAGCAAAGTCCATTCCTATCCTTTCCCTGGCAGAAACACAGCCAGCCTTAAATTGTATTGTTTCTGCTTCAGTTCAGCCATTCTCACGGGGGGCTCTACAAAACACTTTCCCAACCTGGGTGCCCTCCAGATGTGTAGACGTCACAATCCTCAGCAATGGTTGGGAAATCAGGCAATCCAGATGTATAAATGGTTCTAAATTCAGGACGGCTGGTTTAGAGGAAGCAGGAATTTTATGCTCTCTTGTGGGGATTAAGTTTCTTTCCTCATTTCTTTTCTCTCTTCTTAGGATCCAAGCTAATAATCGGTTTTCCTCCCTTCTCTGAAATGTAGAATAAAATATAATAAGATTTTTCATGTAATGACCAACCAGCCTGCCTTGATGTTTGAATTCCCACCAAGTATAGATTGGAATATAAGACAACAAATGATTTACAGCCAGATAAAGTAGAAATATTCTTCAGTGCCCTTAATAAATAATTTGAGCTGCCCAAGAAAAATTGGATTATTCTGAGTATCATCTCAAAACCATTTGTCCTGCTTTAAACCAATATGAGATTGGCCAACTTAAAATCTTCCCTATCAAATCTTTAAAAAATGACAACTTTCCATTCTGTAATGTCTACGTTCCCTTAATATTTATGCTGTAAAAAACCGAAATGAAATCTCTTCGCAGCCAAATGGCATCCGCCATTTATGGTACGTACATGCATAATGCAGACTCTCTACAGGCAGTCCTCATTTAGCAACTGCAATGGATTCCACTGAAATGGTCATGATTTTTCTATTCTCTTGTGGGGATTAAGTTTCCTTCATCATGTCTTTAATCTGTTCTTCTCTCCTTAAAGCCTATTAAACCCTGCCGTCCTATGACCAACAATGCTGGAAGATTGTTCCATTACCGCATTACAGTGTCGCCTCCTACCAACTTCTTAGTAAGTAAATTGAAGCATGATAGCAGCTTCTTGAGCCTCCCAGGATGGCTTTCCCCAACTTTTGGTTTTATTTCTTTAGACAGACAGACCCACCGTCGTAGAGTATGATGACCATGAGTACATTTTTGAAGGATTTTCCATGTTTTCCCATGCTCCTCTCACAAACGTAAGTACACTTTCTTTTATACTCCAGTTTTACTGATGCTGTTACCTAATTGGGTAATGAAACGTCTGCAAGCAAACAAGCTCAGAGAGCAGTAGGGACCCCACAAATTCTGGTATTTTGTACAGTGCAGTGATGGCTAGCCATTTTGGCACTGAGTGTCCAAAACATCCCACCCCCTGCATGCACCCCTTCTTCTACGCATTTACTGCAGATTCCCAAAGTCCAGCTGGCTGGCGGGAGGTATGTGCACATGCGCAGTGGGGCTGAGCTGGAGCGACAGCTCGCGTACACACAGAAAAGGCTCATGCATGCCATAGGTTCGCCATCACGGGTATAGTGTTTACCTTTCTGTATGTAAATAAGTTCCAGCTTAATTCCTAGGGCTATGCATGGTTCTGAAACATCTCGGAAAGATATGCTCTGGACCTTGGACATCAGATGCCTGAAAAAAACAGTGACAATGTTTTAAAACCTACATTACTTTGAATGTCCAAGTTCTTAAAGCAATGGAATCTTTGTTTACAGACTCGTGCAAGGGTCTGCAAAAAAGCCCGGGCTGCTTTAATGAATAGCAGAGTAAGGTCCAAAGCACTTCTTCCAAATAATTTTCCAAGCCAGCACAGCCCAATTAATTTCCCACCCTGTTTTCGAGGGTTTTATTGGAACAATCCTCCAGGGGAAATTTTCTGTAGGATTAAAGAACCTGCTGCACAGCTGAATAAATAGTTTTGGAATAAAAAGTCCTTCATAATACGGTTTTGTATAGTACAGCTATTTACTTCTGTTTTATTATTTCTGAAGTTACTGCCAAATTGAAATGTGTAAGGTGCCTAGAGGGGGAAAACCAATATTTCTCCAGAGTTAATCATAAGAGTGATTTTCTATCTCCCTTGGGTTCATTTGAGTTTTCCAGTTTAGCCTGTATTCCATATAGCTATTTTGTTTACTACTTTGTTTTATGAAACAGTGCATTTCTAAACATGTAAACATTTTTTTTGTAGAAGCCTATATTTTATTGAGAGGAAAAGTTTGGTTTCAGACTTCTCTAGAGCCTTATTTTCTCTGAAGAAGGGTATCTTTTCCTAAAACATCAACTGTTCTATTGCAAGAGAGAACTTTTGTCCTGTTTTTGCATCTTCTTAATTCTCTTCTAAGCTCATAAGGCTTAACACATACTACATAAACAGATCAATGGCAAAATGAGTCCCATATGTTGGAAATGCAAAAAAAAAAAGAAGAAGAAGAAGAGGGAACATACTACCATATGTGGTGGTCTTGCCCAAAGGCTCAAAAATACTGGCTTAAAATCAAAGATTGGTTATAGGAAATCACTAACGAACAAGACCTAGAACCGGAACTTTTCCTATTGGGAATCTTTAAAAAAGTATGTAAAGAGCACAAAATATTTATTATTACATATATTGACTACTGCTAGAATCGCCTTTGCCCAATGCTGGAAATGGCCAGATATACCCTCAGAGAAACTTGTTATACAAAAAGTTATGAACTGTGCTGAAATGGACAAATTAACGCTGAGTTTAAAAGATAAAGAAACTTCAATATTTTATAAGTTGTGGGAACAGTGGTATAGCTGGATAGAACAGAGATAGATAGTTTTTATATATAAGTAATAGATAAAATAAGAATGTAATTACACATAAATCAATACCTGTAAATAGAGCACAAATTATTGTTATATGATAAACACTACAAATTGCTGTTATTGAGTGATATATTTTTTATTTTTTTAATGTAATAAAAGTTCAGTAAAGTTTATTATTAAAAAAAAACAGATCTATGGCAGAGGAACATAACCCCAAACTACTGCTGTATACAGATAGTTTCTCCTCCTCCTCCTGCATTATTACTGAAGTGTCAATTAAATTATAAGTAGTCCTCGACTTATGACCACAATTAAACCCAAAATTGCTAAGTTAAACACTTGTTAAGTGAATTTTATGACTTTTCTTGCCAGAGTTGTTAAGTGAATCATTGCACTTATTAACTTAGTAACATGGTTGTTAAGTGAATCTGGCTTCCCCACTGACTTTACTTCTAAGAAGGTTGCAAAAGGGGATCTCATGACCCTGGAACACTGCAACCGTCATAACTATGAGTCAGCTGCCAAGGACCTGAATTTTGATCATGTGACCGTGGAGATGCTGCAACGGTTTTAAGTGTGAAAAATGGCCATAAGTCACTTTTTTCAGTGCCATTGTAACCTTTGAACCCGGGGTGGGCTGCTGGGGGTTCGCAGGGGTTCAGGAGAGCCCCTAGCTAAAATTCTGTGCAGTTTGGAGGACCTTTGAATCCCACTCCTGCTGGCCCCACCCCACCCTTCCCAGGAGTGCCCAGACAACACGTTTTGGATTCAGGTAAGTGCAGGGCGCACATGAAGCAGGGGTGAAATTCAAAAATTTTCCCTACTGGCTCTGTGGGCGTGGCTTGGTGAGCGTGGCTTGGTTGGAGTCAGTCTCTAAAAGGAAGAAGGCAGGCGGGCATGGGCGGGGCCAACCAATTCAAATCGTCCTTACCACCTCTCCGAACCGATTCAAATCATCCCTACCTCCTCTCCCAAGGTGGTGCAAGGTGGTTGAATTTTACCCCTGGTAGGGAGGCATGGTAAGGGTGAAAAACAGGACCCCTGGAAGTTCAGGAAGGCCGGAAATGGACTTTTTTCCGGCTTCCAGAGAGCCTCCGGAGCCCGGGGAGGCCATTTTTGCCCTCCTGGAGGCTTGAGGAAAGCCTCTGGAGCACGGGGAGAGCAAAAACACCGCCCCGGGGCGTGGTGCAGGAGGCCGACTAGGCCATGCCCACCATGGTTACGCCCACCCAGCAACTGGGCAGAGAACCCGATGCTAAAATTTTTGAAGTCCCCCCCCTGCTTTGAAAAGTCACTAAATGAACAGTTGTAAGTCGAGGACCTCCTTTACCTGTATTCATCCAAGGTATTCTGACAAGACAATATGAAACCGAGAACAATTTCTTGGCTAAAACTGCACTTCTGTGGCTAAAAAGGTATGCTAGAGAGAAAAATAAGAAAGAGTTTAAAAACTGTGTTTTTTTTTTTTTCCAGGGGAATCCATTTTATTTAAAAAGGCATAACTTTTCCCAAACTAAGCTAGCATCTCAGAAAGAGCACGTCTTCTGTTTCAGTTGGAAAATTGTAGCCTGTGTGGGGGCCAAGAATTGTTGACCTTTTATAATTAAATCATGAGAGTTCATTTTCTGCTATGTTTGAAGAGCATGACCTGGGAATAGTAAGACCCTGCTCAAATTTTAGTTCAGCTAATAACGTGCAGCAATGTGACATGGGATATCTCTCATCACCACCCCTGTGTGGGGTTTAGATCTTGCCCTGTAAACTGGCTGCAGGCTTGCTCAGATGAAACCAGAGCAAGGGTTGACTGTCAAAACTTGATCTGGTCTTTCTGCTTTGTTTGCCTGTGCAAGTTGATGAACCTCTATGAAATATAGATTAAAATGTAGCTATGGGATTTAAAATAAGGCTTCCATTTCCTCACCTCAGTATAAATAAGCATTGTTTCTGTTCCCTGGCAGGGGGTATGGAGCCTTCTTTTATATTTTAGGGATCACAGGAGCATGAGATGAGGGAACACCTGTCTTGGAGTGGCTGTTGGATAAGCCACAGAACTATTTCTGTAATATTACGATCGGAATGCTGATGTGAAGTTTTAAAAGCAAAATAAATACTATATAATTCAGGTGCTTTAGAGAATAGGCTGACTTCCTCTTTCTTGTGTCAACCCCAATATCTAAGGCACGGGTTCCAAACTCATGGTGTCACGTTCCCATCTTGTGACATTTTGTGACGTTTCACCACGTTTTTTCCCTTCATAGAGCTGCGGTGGGCGTGGCCTGTGTGTGACCCGTGGGCCGCCATTTGACACCCCTAATCTAATGGGTTGCCACAAGACAGGAGGAGTCAACAAAGAAGCAATGGATGGAAACTAATCAAAACGAGAAGCAACTTAGAACTAAAGAGAAACTTTATATATCTTATTTATTGATCTGATTTGTCAATCTCTTACAAGATAATAGGTATAAGAATAAACATGAGTATGAATTCAGGAAATAAGTACGACTAAATGGGGACCATAGGACAGGGACGGGAGGCACGATGGTGCACTTATGCACACCCCTTACAGACTGCTTAGGATTGGGGTGAGGTCAATAGTGGATAGTTTGAGGTTAAAGGAGTGGGAGTTTGAGGATGACAACAGAGTCAAGTAGTGCATTCGAGGCATTGACCACTCTGTTGCTGAAGTCGTACTTTCCTCAATCAAGTTTGGAGCGGTTTACATTGAGTTTGTATCTGTTTTGTGCTCTTGTAATGTTGCATGTGTGTGTGTATGTGTGTGTTATTGTATGTGTATGTATATGTAGATATTGTATGTATATGTATATAAAAGAATATATAACTTCCTGACAGAACAATTAATCAGTGGAACAATTTGCCTCCAGAATTTGCGGGTGTTCCAACAAAGTTTTTTAAGAAGACATTGGACAACCATTTACCTGAAATGTTATAGGGTTCCCTGCCTGAGCAAGGGGTTGGACTAGAAAACCTCTAAGGTTCCTTCCAACTCTGTTCTTCTCTAATCAAATAATGTTAGTATTTCTTTACTAGCAAATGTCCACTGGTATTATTAACGATCTGTATTTTGTTATTGTATTTACATCTCAAATTCTAAAAGCATAAACTATTTGATGGATTAGAATAGCACCAAATGTGTGAACAGCTTTCCTGTATTCCCATTACAGTGTATATATTCTCATTGTAGGAAGTGTAGATTACACAGTACATAGGTAACTTGTTCACATTCGGTCGCTTCAGTGCATCTGCTTTAAATGTCCAGTAGGTGGCAGCATTTGATCATGCCATTACCATTCTGCTTTTTGATGCCATTTGCCACCTGGTGATCGCAAACTTTGTTTTACATATGCAATGCTGCTACTTTTGATCAGAAGACAACAAAGGCTCTTAAGAGTATTGATTGAACTGCTCCTTAAAAGTGTTCCATGTTTCTTTGTTTCTTTCTAGATTCCTCTGTGTAAAGTAATCAGATTTAACATTGATTATACAATTCATTTCATTGAGGAGATGATGCCTGAAGTAAGTTATGAGTGTGATTATTCAAGACATCTGTTTAGCTTGCAAAATATTTTAGATTTTTGATTCATGCATAATCTGAAGTGGATATATAGTGGAACATATTGTATGCCTGGGTAGGCACTTGTAATTAAAGATACATGGTTTTAGAATCACAATGTCTATGATTCTGAAATATAATTATAAAAATACAATAAAGCAAGACTTAAAACAAATTAAACATATGCCCTCCATAAGAGCAGGCCTTAACCTTGGCTGAGTAAAATATTAAGTGCTGCTGAAGCTTTTCCTCAGGTGGGGAAAAACAGTCAGATTATTGTAGCTCTGTTACAAAAAAAAAAGATGCATATTTAAGGGGAGAAGTAAAGTTTTCAACATTTCTTTCAAATGATAAAATTAACTAGTTTTGATGGAAAAAAATGTTCTGTGAAAAGAGAGGTGAAGCTGCATATAATGATTTTAATCTATCAGTTGGGGCCTGAAATAAATATTTTCAGAGAGGAAGTTCCTATTTAGGAAGCTAAATATTGATCCTCTGCTGAGATCATTCTCTATTTCCTCCTTTCCTTCTTCTATTTCTCGCTTCTTTAACAGTCAATTGTCAATTTTTTCTCCAAAGTAAAGTATGAATGTTTAAATTATTTGTTCCACGTTTCTTCATAAGATAGGCGCTGGAATGCAAAACGATCTTGTTATGCCAATACCAACGTTACCAATAAGTGAATGTTAAGGGAAAGAAATGCCTTTCTGAATGTTTCATTTGTTCATAACAGTAGTCCTCAACTTACAATCACAATTGAGCCCAAAATTTATGTTGTTAAGTGAGAAATATGTTAAGTTGAGTTTTGCCCCATTTTATGACTTTTCTCGCCACATTTGTTAAGTGAATCAATGCAGTTGTTAAATTAGTAATATGGTTGTTAAGTCAATCTGGTTCCTTCATTGACTTTGTAAATAGATGATCACCCAGGGACACAGCAACCGTCATAAATATGAGTCAATTGTCAAGCGTCCAAATGTAAACTCTGTGGCCATGGGATACTGCAACATCATAAATGGTCATAAGTCACTTTTTTCAGTGCCATTGTAACATTGAACAGTCACTAAGTGAACTGTTGTAAGTCGAGGACTGCCTTATATAGAGTTTATATCTGGAGTTAGCCTGGCTTTGGAATTTTAATATAAAACTATGTAGGGTGCTTGAAAAGAACTCTAGGCTTCCATGTTTATAATGAGCAAGAAAAAAAGTCTAGAAATTAAAAGAGTGGGGAAAAACAACAACAACACAATTCTTTAGCTCTTGATTTGTTGAGGGGAGTGAATTCTGAAACCTATGTAAAACTTATTTATTTTTAACAGCTTTTATTTTGTAAGATGCAATTTTAACTTGGTTTGCCTATCAACGTAGGCTTTTCAAACCTCATAATTTGAGGTGAAGTAGAAACCCAACAGCATGAGGATCAGAAGTTAAAAAAAGAAAAGAAGAGGTGAACCCATCAGTACAGAAGGACTGTCTCTTTGCTTTGATTATGAAAATGTCATTGATCCTTAGTAGAAGAAATGCATTCTTGATCTTATATTTGAGAGCTGTACTATATAGCCTGGCTTTTGCGTACAGGACTAGTCAGATCAGATACTGTGAATGTCCCACCGAAATGTCTTCTGGTTGTACCAGATTTAGAGATTATTTAATAGCAACAGCACGTAGACTTATATACCGCCCCATAATGCTTTACAGCTCTCCCTGGGCGGGTTACAATGTCAGCCTATTGTCCATCCGTGCCCCCAAACAACCTGGAACCTCATTTTACTGGCCTCAGAAGGATGGAAGCTGAGTCAATCTTGAACCCCCATCAGGATTGAACTCCTGGCAGTAGGCAGATTTTGCTTGCAATACCACTGTACCACCATTTTCTTTTAAGGAAATAAAACCTCTGTGGGAACATACAAAGATTTCTGACTCATTTTGTATGTTTTTGTTTTGAGGAAGAAAATCAGGAAAAAAAATTAATAATCCTTCCCCCCCTCCCAATTTGAGACAGAAGCAATTAAAAATTGTAGAAAAAGAAAAGAAAAGTGGAAACCTTTCTCCTAACACAGGGGTGCCCAGTCCCTGGGCTATGGACCGGTACCGGGCCGTAGCCTGTTAGAATCTGGGCCACACAGCTGGAGGTGAGAGGTGGGAGAACCAAAGTGCCAACATAACATAGGGATATCTTTCTCCTTGACTGATGGAGATGCTACCATCTTCATTTCTGGTTTCTCAGTTTTTGTAAAAAGTAATCTTTGTTTTTCAGTCCTCTTGTCATAAGCATAAAGAAATGGGAACTTGGGCTGAGGAGGGAGGATCCTGCAAATTGAGGGTGGTTAGTTCCTGTCCTGTCCCATCCCTGATTTCAGAGAATACATTCAACTCTCACGATGTAAGTTGGTGAAGATGTTCATTGTATGGTCTTGAGTTGCCTGCTTTTTTCCCTCCCAGAACTTTTGTGTCCGAGGCCTGGAACTCTTCTCTTCTTATCTCTTCAAAGATATTTTAGAACTTTACGATTGGAATCTGATTGGTAACTATCTTAAAAGTATATTAGTGGGAGATCTCTAGGTTGTTGCCTATTTGTTTATTCGCTATATTAATATAATATGCTGGTAGATTCTCTCTTGATGCATGCTAGAACCCTTCCCCTCCCTGACTACAGATTCTTTTAATGAAAGAAGGGAAGATATTTTGTTAAAAAGCAAAAGTCGGACACTTACATCACATTTTTGTGCTGTGATTTTTAGAACTTCCCTATTTCTCCAAGGAAAAAAAAAAGAGATAAGATAGTTAGGGATGGTAGTTAAGAGTATCTTTGAGAGTTTGGAAGCCATATGAAGAGCTATAGAATTAAGTCTGTCTCCTGATAAATAAGTATTTTGTTTATAAGCAGAGGTGGCATTTTGGAGAACCAGTAGCGAAAATTTTGAGTAGCTTGGAGAACTGGTAAATACCACCTCTGATTGGCCCCACCCCCATCTATTCTCTGCCTCCCGAGTCCCAGCTGATCGGCTGGGTCTTCTTTTGTTGCCCTGCACAGGAGAACAGAGCTGGAAAGCAGGTTAGTAGGGTGGGAAGGGAATGGGGATTTTGCAGTGACCTTCCCCCAGGAGTGGGGAGGCAATGTAGATTTTACAATATCCTTCCCCTATCAAGCCATGCCATGCCATGCCCACCAAGCTTATAAGACTAGATATAGTTAACTGCTTCCATTGCCACCATGTTGTGTAAAGTGTCAACGATATGCAGAGATGATATGCTGTGAAAAAAAAAAAATCCAATGAGCCATTGACCCTAAAATATTAGGGACCCTTAATTTTTTTTTTCCTTCCGTTCAATCATGTTCAATTCTTGGAGATTTCCTGGAGAAGTCCCTGAAGTTTTCTTGGTAAGGTTTTTCAGAAGTGCTTTGCCATTACCTCCTCCCTAGGGCTGATAAAAAGTGACTAGCCCAAGGTCATCCAATTGGTTTATTGCCTAAGATGGGACTAAAACTCCCAGTTTTCTAGCCTGATGCCTTAACCACTACACCAAACTGCCTGTACCTCTAAATTAGGAGGTAGTCAATTAATTCAGAATATTTCAGGAAAGGAGATAGATACCCAGTCTAGGGGATGTGAATATTGCATAGGTGCTGAGAAAATAAAGGAGGTATAAATATACTCAAAAGAATTCAAAGCTTACAGGCAGAAGGAGAAAAGTATAAGGGATAACTTCCCCATCCATTATGTTCAATGGTTATTGAAAGCCAGCTTTGTGTTGACTGGTGGACATAAATAGTTGATACATTATAATCTACATATTTCATAGCTATTATAACAATGCACATGGCAGATTTTGTGGCAAATGGTTTTTATTGTCCGCTATAATTCTGAGACCATGCAGTTGTATGTTCTGAGTTTTCCTTTTATTAGACAAATGTTTTTAGTTCTATTGGTTTTTTTCCAAATGCTACAGTAATTCCCATAAGTCCCACCCATATACTGCCCATCTGTAGTATAATGATATTTGGAGGATCCTGTATTCCCATTTTTTTCCAGAAAAAGGAGCTAAAACAAAACAAAACACTGTTTCATAGGCTGCAAAATCATTTGCTTTGTACAAATTCAGTTCTATAAAAGTAGCTTAATTTTTACTGAAGTGCCAAAGATAAAGGTAAATGCTCTATGAACTTACACCTTGCTGTTCATTTTGTTATATAAGGTCCTTCATCAGAAAACAGTGATACTTCATGTCCTCGGTTCCACTTCATGCCACGCTTCGTAAGGTTTCTTCCAGGTAAGTGTATTTGGTTTTAGTGTGACAGCTATTCTTTTAGTTACTTCTCTCTGAGAAGATATAAATCTATGCCTGGACTGGTGTTTCTCAACTTTGGCACTTGAAGATGTGAGGACTTCAACTCCCAGAATTCCTCAGCGAACTATGCTTGCTGGGAAATTCTTGAGAATTGAATTGCACACATCTTTTAGTGGTCTGAACTATTCTTGTTTCAAACTAGCAAATGTGTGTAGAAGAATCCACAGAGGCATTTAAATTTAAATCTATATTATTTGTGTCTGTTCTTAACAGTTTACTTTAACAGCTTCAGTACTTAAAAGTAATTTAGTATCTATGTTCAGCCATAACACTTATTTTTCTACTGTGTACAAAGCTTAGTTTGCTACTATGGTTCAGATGGAATGCTAAGCAGAACCCATAAGGAAAGCAAAATTAACCAGGTCAAAAAGTAACCAAGTTTAAAAGTATGTATTGCTTTTACTGGCCTGATTAAGTATGTTGTATAAATGTTGTCTGGAACCTGTGGAGAATTTTTGATTATTATTCATAAGCAGCGGAAACTTTGTGGAATGTTTGAACTCCGATTTTTGGCTGCCACTCCTGAAATACCCAAAGGGGCTTTTTCAAAAGGCAGCTGGACTTTCTTTCTTTTGTTTTTTCTTGAAAATGTTTTGCTTCTCATTCAAGAAGCTTCTTCAGTTCATCTGTGCCGTCAGGGTTACCTAAATAGTGCAAATGGATGTGGAATCTTCTTGGAATTGAAGAAGCTTCTTGGGTAAGAAGCAAAACGTCTTCGAGGAAAAAAAAAACCCAAAGAACGTCCAGTTGCTTTTTGAAAAAAGCACCTTTGTGGCAGCCATGACCTGGGTGACTGAGAATTTCTATAGGAACACTTGTAATACACTGCTTTTGAAGTTGGTTTTCTTTTTCTGGTTTCTTCTTCATTCCAGAGATTCCGGAATGATGCTTACCTATAGGAAACTTTTACTTCTGATCACTTCTGGTTGAACTAACAGCTTTCTGTTGTGTTAGGTATACTTCTCTATGGTGGAGAACATGCAGCACAAATTATTTCACTGGAATTTTCATAGGAAGCTGCTTTATAGCGAGTCAGAATGATCAGTTGTCAGCGTTCCAACTAACCCAACTCCGAACCAATAATCTCCGAGACAAACACTTCCTCAAAGTTCTGTTTTAATAGAGTTGTCATATTGGCACATCTGGGAAAACCCGAATCTGAGAGTTCTGGTTTTCCCTTCCCAAAAGAAATTCAAAGGTCCATCCCCTGCATCCATTAGTCCCTCATACAGCCCAATCAAATCTTTGTCCCAACTGGAGACATCCCTCTAGTCACTCCCTACCAGGTGCAGGGCAACATGTCCTTGACTCTCTGAAAAAGAATGTTGTTGAAAGAATCTTCTTCCTCACTATGAAATCCCCTCTCCCTCACTATGAAATCCCCTCTCCAGGCACTGAACGTGGCAGCCTCGAAGCTTCCAAGCAAAAAATGGCTTCCAAAGCTGACATCAGTGAGATTATCAGTTATCATCTTCTAGCAACAGCAGCCATCATACAAAATTTCCAAAGAAATTTAACTGTTGTCCAAATAATGAGAAGATGAGCAGGATTTCCCTTGAGTTTATTTTGATCCCCCATCCATAGATATCTTGCCGACATGTGTTTATTATTAGAGTTGGAAGGTGTGCTTTTTTAAATGTTTTGTTTTCAACGATCTGATATTTTTATTATTTCTGCCTAGCACTGGAAATGTCCTTTCTTCTGCTGCTTGAATTATATTTGATGTAATTATTTGGGGTTTTTTAGGTTTTGAATATTAAGATTTGATTATGAATTTTTTAATATAGTTTTATTGTATTTTATTGCTGTAGCTTATATTTGAATGTATCGTGCTGCCTCAGGTGACCAGGTCCAGACTGGTGACTTATAAATATTTAAGTAAAATGTTTTTTTAATTTAAATATGTTTTAAATTCAGCAGATTGTAGACTTTCAGGCTTATGAAATAAGTGTGTATACCAAGTCCTGATGTGGTATCACAGTCCTACTAGCTTTGAAGGCAGAAGTCCAGGTTCATATGAAAACAGACTTTTTGCTGCTTATTTTAAGACCTAAATAGCCTCCCTCCCTTAAACTCTTGCATTTGCTTTGTGAAACAAAAAATGTAAAATAATTTACATCTAACTTTTAGTATAATGTATAACAGGGGAATTAGTCATTCTCAGCTGGTTGAAGTTGTACACCCAACCTCCATGCTGGACCTTTTGTGAATTTCTATAGATATTGTGCAAGCACTAAATTGAGTGACACCAAGTTCAAATAATTGTGTGGTGGCTATCTTATATAGGGTGGCTTATTATTTGAGTTAGTGCATCATGGTAGGCCAAAATATGGTTGGTCTGGCTTTGGTTTAATATTTTGGCTCATCCCAGCTATTATGATTTCCAGACCGTGGTTTAAAAAATAGTGCGATATGCGAATCCCACCAGTTGTAAGTTATGGCTTAATGTGATGTGTAGACAAGCTATTGTTTAAGTTTTCTGTTGGAGCTGTTTAGCTGATCTGAAGCCATTGCTAGTTTTCAAATGCTTTCCTTTCAATGAGTTTGACAACCAGTCCTATTCTGTTTTCAAGATGGCGGGAAGGAAGTTCTCTCAATGCATCAGATCCTCCTGTATTTGTTACGCTGCAATAAACCACTCGTGCCAGAAGAAGAGATTGCCAATATGCTACAGTGGGAAGAACTGGAGTGGCAGAAATACGCCGAGGAATGCAAAGGGATGATAGTGACCAGCTCTGGCATGGTACTGAGGTGTTCTCTCTTGAAATAAAACTAAATATATACTAAATATTAGCCATTCTAACTACTACTGACAATCTTACGTTTTTAATGTTATATTACCACAGAATCTATTATGGTTGAGCAATGGGTCCCTCTGTACTCCATGTGCCACCCCTACTCCTCTAATTTGGGTGGGGCTGAGTATTCCAATGACATCATGGCATCAATTGTGGCCCCCTTTGCGGGCCACAAGTAGGGCCCAAAATACAAGTAGTCCTCGATTTACAACCTATTTGTTTAGTGACCACTCAAAATTACAATAGCATGGACAAAAAGGGACTTTTGACCGTTTCTCCACATTTGCGACCATTGCAACATACCCATCGTTACATGATCAAAATTTGGACTCTTGGCAACTAGCAATAGCACTTAGACTTATATGTCACTTCATAGGGCTTTACAGCACAACCTTTCTAAGTGGTTTACAGAATGTGATGACCCGGAGTGTAACACAAATGTAATAAAATCTAAAACGTAAATAAATGTCCTTTAATGCTTCCAACTTCGCCCCACCGTTCAATAATTCTCAGTTGGAGATAAAACTTATTCAAAAATAGTCTTCAAAAGAAAGGAATACAGTCCGAAATTAATGAGCAGATAGAGGTGAAATAAAAAACTAAAACAAACTACAGTGAAGAAATTTCCACAGGATAAATGGACCAGGATAAGTAATTACCAACTTCAAGGAGATAACAAGGCACAGTCTGTTGGAAGGACGCCAACCAAGATAACTTCAGTCCAAAATAACACACGCTTTGCTTCTGGCAATGATATGTTTTAACAACTCTCTTATATACTATTCTCCACAACTGCAACCAATGAGGGGGATCATGGCCGCTTCCTCTCTAGTAAGCCAAGTTGTTTCCTTCTCCGTTCCTCCCTGCATATGCTAGGATGAAGAGGAGATGGGCCTGGTTCTTCCTCTGACTGCCCAGCCAGCCTCTGTCCTTCCCCAGCCTCCTCCACAACCTCCGGAGCCACTCCTCCACTCCCTGTCAGCTATTCCTCCTTTCCCTCAGAGTCTAACTCTAACAAGGGCATGACACAACATGTTGCCCCCCCAACAATCTGTGTCCTCACTTTACCGACCTTGGAAGGATGGAAGGCTGAGTCAACCTTGAGCCAGGATGGATACTGCAATACTGCATTCTAACTACTGCGTCACCATGCAGTGGTTCATATTTATGATGAGTTGCAGTGTCCCAGTGTCATGCGACCTTCCGACAAACAAAGTCAATGGGAAAGCCAGATTCTCTTAAAAACCATGTTACTAACTTAAGAGCTGTAGTAACTTACTTTAGAACTGTGGTAACTAAAGTCATGAAATGGGAAAAACTCACTTAACTGTCTTGCTTAACAACAGGAATTTTGGGCTCAATTGTGGTCGTAGGTCGAGGACTACTGTAGTGTGTCCTGGGTGCCTCATCAAGAATAAAACTCTAAAAATATAATAACAAAAAGAGTTTTGTCCTGAAATTAAGGGAAGGAGAAGAATAGAGGCCACAGCAGGTGGATTTAATCCAGGGGTGGGATTCAAATTTTTTAACAACTGGTTCTGTGGGCGTGGCTTAGTTGGTGGGCATGGCTTGGTGGTCATGTTACTGGCTGGGCGTGGCCAACTCAACATCACTCACATTGAGGCATGCATCTCCTCGCCTGGCCTCTTGTGACTGTGGGGATGCTGCAACAGTCTTAAGTGTGAAAAACAGTCATAAGTCACTTTTTTCAGTGCCACTGTAACTTTGAATGGTCACTCCACACAAGCAAAGTACCAGCAAAGGAGGGGAAAAAAAACTCCAGAGATGTTCCAGAGACAGGAAGTCGGGTCCTGCCAAGAATATAATAAGGGTTAACGGAGAGGCAGTTTCTGTAAGCAACACCAGAATGTTTCCTTCCTGCCTTCCTTACAGGATTAGACCAGTAATTTCTTCTAACAACCGGTTCTCCGAACTGCTTAAAATGTTAACAACCGGTTCTAGCGAATAGGTGCGAACTGGTAGAATCCCACCCCTGATTTAATCATTTGGTATTTAAAGATCTGGGGAAATTCTGGGTTATTTCCCAAGACCATGTGTAAGATTTCCTATTTATAGATAAGGTCAGGAATATAGAACGTGTGGCCTTGAAGATATTGAATTACAGCTCCTAGCATTTCCCATCTTGACTGTGATCATTGGGTCTGCTGGAAGTTGTAAATTGGTAGCAACCACAAGACCAAAGGGGCAAATAGTTTGTACCAAGGCATGTTGGGGCTGGAGCAGAGGAGCCTTTCAATATCACTGAGTCCTATCTAAAAACAAAAATGTATCTTTAGATCAAAAGCTAGAACAGCTATGGTGGTGGCAGGTGCAATAAAAGCTAAATGGGGCCAGCAATTACTTGTCAGGATCAATCTCAGAGGTCTTTGTCCATTATTATTTACAAGATACTTTTCACTTCCGTTTAGTATTTGATTATAGATAGTCCTTGATTTATAACAAGTTACTTAATGATTACAATTAGTTACAACAAATCCAAAAAGGGGAACTTACGACCCGGGTGAAAACTTCTGGTGGTTGTGCCATCTTCCCTCCCCACACCTGTGGTCATGTGACTGTACTTTGGGCACTTAGCAACACAGCTGCATATATGGATGTCTGTAGCATCCCATGTCACATAAGTGTATTTTAATGTAGTTTTCCCAAAACTGAGAGTTTCCTCTGGTTTTTGACACAACCCCGAACCAAGACCATTGTTCATTTTACGACTGTAATTTTTGTTAACAACCACACGTCGGTTTTATGACCATGATGACTTATAATTTTAATGGGTAGACTGCATTACTATCATAACTTGAGGACTACCTCTTTTGAAATCTAACAATGACATTGTCTAAGATAGAGGCCCCTAACCTGTTGGCCACAACTGACTACCGGTCTGCAGCCTGTTCCCAAACCAGGCTGTATGAGTGGCCAGCTGGTGTGCGTGCATGCGCGTCCACAGCCTTACTCGAGTAAGCATCGCGCGAGTGTCGCGAGCGCTTTCAGTCCCACTCACACGGGCAACGGGTGCTTGCCACGTGCATGCATACTGTGATGACCCAGGATGTGGCACAAAAGCAACGAAGTCACAAAAGTAGGTAAAGTCCCTTTAATACCTTCAATTTGACCCCCAGTGTCCAGTTATCATCGGCTGGAGAAAAAAACTCTCCCAAGAACAGTTTTTAAAGGGAAAAAAAATTAGTCCAAAACCAAGTACATATAAACTATAAATAAAAACCAACACAAACCACGCTGCAGCAATTAATGAGACAGGACATGATAAGGAATTGCAGACTTCAAAAGATAACGAAACACACACAGTTGGGAGGATGCCAGAATCCAGATAAGACTTGACAAATCAAAATAATCCATGCTTTGCTTCCAGCAAGATGCTGTGCGCAAACACCCTTTTTAAATCCTGTTTTCCCAGCTGCAGCTAATGAAGGGAATCTGGGCCCTTTTCTCCCACGTAACCTACGTAACTCATGTTGCTCCCTTCTCCATTCTTTCCTGTGTGCCCTAGGATGAAGAGGGGATGGTCTTGGGTCTTCCTCTGAATGCCCAGCCGGACTGTGCCCTTCCCCAGTTTCTTCCACAGCCACCAGAGCCACACTCCCTTTCAGCTGCTCGACCTCTACCTTGGAATCAGATTCCAACAGAGGCATAACCCATACATGCCTGTCCCTCCCACAAAACCATCCCCCCTCCCCCGGCACCAGGCCACCTGGTCTAAGATATTAACATGCCTTTGTATTGATGTGTGGGTTAAAGGCATTAGGTTTTATTCTGTCTGTCTAATATGCTGAATGCCAATGAAACAAGCATAGAACAATAGGATAAAATACTGGCAAGGGAATACAAAGTTCAGAAAGTAAAACCAGACCCCCCCCCCAAAAAAAAAAGTAAGGCAGGAAGCAATCCAAGCAATGAGTTTTAAATAAATGATCTGCTTGAATGTCTCCCTCTCTTCTCCATGCTCCAGAACATTTCATCCATCTCTCAAAAGAAAGAAAATCATGTCACGTAAACACCTCTTCCTGTTGTGTTCTCCTTAATATGTATTGTAGAAAACATAAAGGAAGACTCCGTTCTTCTGACCACAGGAGTAACTTTTGTAGATTTTAATAATGAGCCTCTCACCTTGCTACTGGTCTATAATGACTAAGATCATGAGGGGATTTATGGAGCATCATTTTCTTGTGTCTGTGTCTGTCTCCAGCTTTTTAAAGTGAGAATGAAAAAAGGAAGAAAAATAAGGTTTTGTGTGTGCATATTTTTCTTTTCTGCCAGGTTCCTTTTGTGACGATAGCAATTATTCTAATTTCTGCTGGGAACAAATAGAAGAGGGGGATTTGTGTAGGTTTTCTGCTTCTTTGTTAATGTGAAGACTAAATTAGGAACAGGGAGAGAGGAGGAATATCTTACAAAGCATAACCTTGCAAATTTATTGAGAAGAGCATTGCATTATTCAAATAAAAATGAATTTTGAGTCTCCTTCAGGACTAAATACCCATTCCTTTCTTTGGTGATGTTTTAACTCTGAAGTTTAGAATGACAGTGGCTCCCGCAAGATAATTAAACTTTTAACAGACTTTTTATTGATTCCACCACTAGCCTACATTTATATTAGTTCTTGCAACCATTATGAACTCCTAAAATGAATGGTTAATTCTGTGAGAACTTTTGGGAGAAGCAGAAGGATTGTAATTCTAATTTTAGTCCTCCCATAAATTACTGTAATCAATACATAACTGTGAGTTAATCAACCCAAAATTAACCTCAGCCATTTTGTGTTTTAAATCTAGCAGTAGCATGAAATGAGGTGACCATCTTGTTATCCTTCTTTCTCTATGTCTGTCTTACGTTCAGGCTGAACTTATTTAGCCAGCTCAAAGTTTTCCATTGTTTAAGAAGCCTCTGTGGTTAGACAATCCTTTTCTGTGTGTGAACGTGAAAAGAGTAACAGAAAGGATATTTCACACTTTTCCCTCACATAATCTTTGCACATGTGAATAGGATGTTTTATTTGCCTAAGGAAGAGAATCCACATAAACTTGGAAGAGATCCTGCTAGATTCAAACTTTTAATTTTTATGTGGAATTGCTAGCTACTTTCAAAATAGTGTTAGTAGATATAGTCCATGGAAGCTTCAGTGTGTTAAGTATGTTTGTATCTTCGGAAATTTATATATATCCCAAACTCCAAAGTAGTAGCACTTAAATACTGCTTCATAGTTCTTTACAGCTCTCTCTGAGTGGTTTACAGTGTCAGCCATTTTGTGTTTTAAATCTAGCAGTAGCATGAAATAAGGTGACCATCTTGTTATCCTTCTTTCTCCATGTCTGCCCCCAGCAATCTATGTCTTCATTTTACTGATCTCTGAAGGATGGAAGGCTGAGTCAACCTTGAGGTGGTCAGAATTGAACTCCTGGCAGTAGGCAAAGTTTGCCTGCAATATTGAATTCTAACTACAGCGCCACCACCATAGTTCAAATAAACATTGATGGAGCCATTATTAGTGGAAAAATTGATTATTATTATTTTTTACCTTTTCTCTTCCTGCAGAAGCCCAGTTCTGTTCGCATTGATCAGTTGGATCGTGAACAATTCAACCCTGATGTGATTACTTTTCCCATTATTGTCCATTTTGGAATACGACCAGCTCAACTCAGTTATGCTGGAGACCCACAGTAAGCTGCTCCCTTATTAGTTATATGGAACTAATCAACAATGTAACTTTTTTTTCCTAGACAATATGTATAAGTAGTGAAGCATTTAATATTATTCTCAGGTGTCCATGTCTACAATGCTTGCCACCTTTTCCCATTTGTTGAGAGTGGCCAAAGTGCCACTGTCTCCATAAAACATTCTGGATCAGGGGTGTCCAACCTTGGCAACTTTAAGACTTGTGGACTTCAACTCCCAGAATTCCTCAGCCAGCTTTGGGAGTTGAAGTCCACAAGTCTTAAAGTTGCCAAGGTTGGACACCCCTGTTCTAGATGGATTTATGGTCAAGATTTGGTGGAATTAACTGAATTAACTTTATTGTCAAGATTCTGGCAGTTACCCCCATTTAAATCATGAGTCTCGAGCCAAACTTCCAAAATTTAAAAAGGATTTATTGGGAATTAAACTGTCCAGCACTGCCTGGGTGTAGCCAACTCTGAGACACAAAAGTCATTGTCACCCTTGACCCTGGTTTTCCCCCTGGGTGTATTGTAATTAATATTCTCCAATGGGTCACATCCATAGCCAAGAGTCATCAATCATGCTCTCCAGTTAGAATTTTGTGGGGCAGAAACTTCAGTCACCTAGTTATTATCTTTGAAAACTTTTATGTATTGCAGTTTCGGTTTGCAAGCTGCTGCACTGATCCCCTCTCCCTTTCTATTGGCAACTCTAAAAAGACCATAGAGATATTTTATGAGTTGACATTTATCATGCAATCATCCTTTTTCTCTGAATACTCCACTGCACATTTAAATATTTATTTATTTATTTATTTATTTATTTATTTATTTATTTATGGATGGATGGATGGATGGATGGATGGATGGATGGATGGATGGTGCTTTTTCCCCCCTTGTTGGAAAGATTCACTTCCATTAGCAGTAGCTCAAGCCAGTTGTTGTCATGCCCCTGGTGGAGACTGACTCTGAGGGAGAGGAGCAACAGCCAACAGGGAGTGGAAGGGTGGCTCTGGAGGTTGTGGAGGAGGCTGGGGAAGGGCAGAGGCCGGCTGAGCAGTCAGAGGAGGACCCAGGCCCATCCCCTATCCATCCTAGGGCACACAGGGAGGAGGATACGGGAGAGACGTGGTCTACTCAGGAGGAAAGGGCCTTGATCCTCTTCATGGGCTGCAGGTATGAGAACTGCATAAGAATTGGGACCTGCGTTCTGGCAAACGCTGGAGACAAAGTGTGTTTTATTTTGGTTTGAGGTTATCTTGGCTGGCATCCTTCCAACAGACTGTGCCTTGTTATCTCCTTGAATTTGGTAAATACTTCTCCTGTTCCATTGTGAAATTTCATCATTGTAGCTTGTTTGGTTTTTATTTTCACCTCTATCTGCTCATTAAATTTGGACTGTATTGCTTTCTTTTAAAGACTATTTTTGAGCACATTTTATCTTCAACTGAGAATTATTGAACAATGGGGCCAAGTTGGAGGCATTAAAGGACATTTATTTATGTTTTGGATTTTGTTACATTTGTGTTACACTCTGGGTCATCACAGTTATGAGGATTTCTAAATTACATTTAATAGGACAAAAACATGAGCCTTTCACTTCACTCTAGTATGCTTTTGGGTCTGAACGTGTTATTAAACTTCAGAAATATCTATGGACTTCTCTTATTCTCTTCTACAATAACATCCAAAAAATGTCACACAGCAATTATTCTGAAACCAATGGATGGAAGAAATGAGTTAATAAAAAAAGAAGGCAAAAGCCCAATACTTGGGAAGCATCCCATTGGGATAATAAGTAGACTTCTTCAGTCTTCTAATGCTCTTCAGCTTTAGGCATTTCAAAAACAGACACTCATCTCCAATTGTAGGTTACTAGTTTAAGGAGACTGGAAGGGAAAGGAGATATATTTTTTAAAAGAAACAAAAGAAATGCATGAAGGCCAGAAGATAATAAAGGATCTTCATTTTACCTGTGTTATTCCAGCCACTAAGGACATAACAGCAAGAAGAGAAGAAGGCTCGGCTCAGTTATACTTTGGGCTTAGGACAGGGGTGGGCTTCAAAAATTCTAGCAAAGGGTCCTTTGCCTGGTTGATGGGCAGACGTAGCCATGGTGGGCGTGGCCTAGTCAACCTCCTGCCCCATGGCAAGGGAGGGGGAGTTTTTGCCCTCCCCAGACTCTGGAGGCTTTTTTCAAGCCTCCAGGAGGACAAAAACAGCCTCCCCAGGTGCTGGAGTCTTTCTGGAAGCTGGAAACAGGCCCATTTCCGGCCTTCCCGAACTTCTGGGAGGCACATTTTTGCCCTCCCTGAGCCTCCACACACACCCTGCACTTACCTGTATCCAAAATAGACCATGTGGGGACTCCTAGGAGGGCGGAATGGGGTGGGCAGGGCCAGCCAGGAGTGGGATTTGAGGGTTCTCCAAATTGCACAGAATCTTAGCTAGGGGCTCTCATGAACCCCTGCAAACCCCCAGCAGTCCAGCCCTGGCTTAGTATCACATCTAAATGACAAAATAACAGAGCTGGAAGGGCTCTTGAAGGTCTTCTAGTCTAATCCCTTGCTCTGGTAGGAAACCTTCTACCATTTCAGACAAATGGTTTCCAATCTCTTCTTAAAATATCCACTGTTGGAGCACCCTTAACATCTATAGAGGCAAGTCATTCCACTGATTCATTGTTCTAACAGGAAATTTCTGCTTAGTTCCAGCCTGGTTTTCTCTTTGATTACTTTCCATCCATTGCTTCTTGTCCCCCCTTCAGGTGCTTTGTAGAATAGGATGACCCCCTCTTCTTTGTGGCAGTCCCTTAGATATTGGAACACTGCTGCAATATTTCCCCTAGTCCTTCTTTTCATTAAACTAGACATAACCAATTCCTGCAACCATTTTTTAATATATTTTAGCTTCCAGTCTCTAATCATTTTTGTTGCTGTCTTCCGCACTCTTTCTAGAGTCTCAACATCTTTTTTATATCATGGTAACCAAACCTGGATGGTCCAAATTAGTCTTACTAAGGCATTATAAAGTGGTACTAACACACTTGTATTTTAGGATCAAATCTTCCCTCTGTTTATAAAATAAAACCAATTTTGGGGTACATTTTTAGATTAATCCTTTCTATGATCATTTCTTGAAATACTCAGGATATGTAAGGGAAGCGTACTTTTTAATTCAACTATTTGCTAACAAAATTCCAACAGTTGTATAGTATTTGTGACAGTACTTAGACAGAGACCTGGGTCAAT